TCTGCCCACATCCCTGAGGGTGGATCTTCTTTTCTCAATCTATTATGCTAATCTCTTCCAGAAACATCCTCGCAGGCACACCCAGGAAAATACTGTTTTACCAGATATCTGGGCAGCCCTTAGCCTGGTCAAGTGGACACATAAAGTTGACCACAATAAATTTACCTCCCAGATAAGAGTACCAGGGAAACAGAGAGGGCTCGACACTCCATGTCAGTGGTTCATGAAAGGCATCCCAGCTGACCTGAGAGGTCAAGAACGGTAGGCAGGGGTTCCTGGGCCTCCATTTTGCTCTTCTCAGCAGCCAGAGAGATCTTTTAAAAAATGCACCTCAGATCAAGTGATTTCTTCCTTTCACATCAGCAACTTCCCATTGCTCTTGAAATAAAATCAAAGCTCCTCACCATGGTCTGCAAAGTCCCAAGGTGGTCATCTTGAGCCACCTTGGCCCTTCCCCAACCTGTCTCACTGCCTGTCCCCACCTCAGGCTCTTGGCATTGTCGGGGCTCTCTGTGAGCAAGGAGCCCCCTCTCAATCTTCCCGTGCCTGGCTCCTGTCCAACATCAGAACTCAGCTCAAATGTCACCTCCCCAAAGAGGCCTTCACTAGCTACTCGACCAGATGCTGGGCCCCTTCTGCACACACGCACCCCTCATTCTTTCCATGACTGACGTTCACTTTGTCAGTGAAATCTTGTTTTGCTTCCTTCAAAGCACCTGCCACTCCCTGAAACTCTCTCTAGGAGGGCCAGGATTTCATGGGTCTTATTCCAACTGGCCTTRTAGTTATGGTTGGCCCTTGAAGGTTTCTTTTGTTATGTTTTGTTGTTTTTAACAAATGAGTCCCAGGCCCCTGTAAAGGACGGAAGTGATGCAGTGAGATGAGAACATAGGATTCAAGCTATGCCACACAAGGACAGGTCACATCAGGTCACTCAGAGGCAGAGAATGCACYGGTTGGTGGCACCTGCTATATGTGAACACCATGAAGAGGCCAGCAGTGTCTCGCTTCTTTCTCTGTGACCACCATGGCTCAGTCTTGCATTGCTGGGAAACTCTAGGAGGGCTCCTATCTAAAATCAATTTTTAAAAAAAGTCAAATTATAGAATAATTTCCAGGAATCCAGGTTTAGCTCTTTCCGATGGTAATTCCAACGAAGCTCAGGGAAGCTCTCAGGGCATCTCTTTAATGAAGAGTCAGACTTGGTGTTTAATTAGCTTGTCATCATTAGCTCTCAAAGCATTTGCTCCCAGACTCAGCTCCTGCGCTGTTCCGCGGTCTGGGTGGCCGGGCACGCTGGCTCAGAAGGTTGAACCATCACTTACTGATCATCTACTGATTTCACATCGGACTCTGGGATTACACTAAGTTCCAAAGTCAAAGTTCAGTTGAACTACATCTTAGGCCTCATCTTGAAAGGGCAAGAAGTAGTTGCCAGATATCATTTTCAGAACCCACCTGCCAATCTGACACTCAGTCCCTTGTGGGATGCAATTTACACATCGCTGCTCCCTGAGTCCTACTTGGGACATCCTGCTAGGGACAAGCTGTGGAGTCTCTTCCCAGGCCCACCCACGCCCAGCCATGCTGGGAGTGATGAGGGCACATTGGACTAGCACCACGGTGCCTGGTTGGGGCATAGAACAAAAAGCGACCTCTGCAGGAACTAGAATTGCCACTGACAGAGACCTGGGAGGCAGATGGAGGGTGGGTGGCAGTGTTGTTTCATGGGGAATCTCTGCTGCCAGGGCATGAACTGGTGCAGCTCCAGGTTGTCTCTCTCTCTTCCTTTTGATGCCCAAATTGTGTTCTGGCAGGTGAGAAGAAGAAGCCTGGCCACTGCCAGCTGCTTCCTGGCATCATCTGGTGCTGCTCACAGAGGTTCTGTGGACTGGGGACTCTCTGTGGGCCTGGGAGTCACAATGTATCCATGCTGTATCCATCCAACTAAGTACATCTCTGCCTTAAAGGGCCAACACCTGAAATGACACCCTCCCCACCCCTACTCTCTCTCCCTCCTCCGGGATGCCATTTATGGTCTATGCAGATTATTTTATTCCCCTGCTGAAAGCCTTTTGATAATTCTTATGCCAGGCTTCCTATGGACACAGTCTACCTTCCAACATACACGATGCATGTAGCCCTGAAGCCAGCCACACTGAAATGGAGAAGAGGTGAACAGCCAGGCAAAACAGGGCTCTGATAACCTGCCAACAGCGCATGCTAAATAAGTGTTTCTCAAACTTGAATTTCCCTTCCAATCGCTGGGAATCTGTTAGAATACAAATTGATCCAGGACTGTGGGTCCAGGACATCTGGGGGGGAGGGGGCTCCGATTCTGCATTTCTATCAAGATCCCAGATGCCCTAACTGTGACTGTTGCTGATCCCCAAACCACACATTGAGTAGCAAGGTACCCTTGGTCATCTTTCTAACACCTGGGTGGGGGCAGGGGATGCCACACTCAAAGTAATTTCATTGTAAGAACATGTTCACTCTATAAAATCATCATTTTTGTAGATCAAAAGGTCAATTTCATACTGTTCAACCTAACAGAACAGGCAGTCCATCAACCAACTGCTAATAGAAACCAAAGCTCATAACACCAGAATCCTAGGCAACTTACCTTGGAACGAGGAGGAGGTGGGACTTCAAATAAAAATTCTAAATTCTAAATACCGGGACCTTGAGGCAGAGCACAGCCTCACTCCACGCACACATCAGCCCTGTTCCCACAGCCCCCAGCCCTTGGCAGAATCCCATCCCATGGGGTAGCCAGTGACCTGGAAGACCTCTCCCTGCCTTCTTCTAGCTTGCAAGCTGGGGAACAGGATTGCTCCCCTGGACTGCCTTCCTTGACCCTGCTCTAGTGTTCCGAGCATGCTGCAATTTCAAGGCATGTCTTGAAGCCCTGGCACATCAACCAGGTGGCTTTGTAGGCCACCTGGGTCAGACAGGAGGATCTTAGCAGATGGTGGCATGTGTGTTGATCTCATTTTAAAAAGCTCTCTCAGCACTGGAAAGAAAAGGGTGTTGAGCCTATGAGAACCTTGGCACTTCCACAGGGCAACACKTCTCCACTTGCCAAAAGTCCCAGTTGTGTGGGGGAACAAGAGAAGGGGCGATGAACATGGGCCTGATAGGGTCCTGCACAGGCGGAGCGTTCACCAGCTCCTACCTATGGTGGCCCTTCTGACAACAGCCGAGTTGCTGCCATGACCCAATCTGGTTCTACTGGCAAAACTCATAAGAAGGAAAAAAAGAAATAAGCCAATGGACAGCTCAAGAACCGCGGTAACACTTGCTCCCTCCACGAGGAGTTCCACTGGCTCGGGATGTTAGGGAAGCCTCAGATTCAAGGTACCCTCCCTCTGAGAAGGCCCTGAGGGGTCTTGATGCTTATTGATGTTCCCCTGGCTCTCAACTCCAGCTGCCTTCCAACCAAAGAGCTTTGAACAAATACCAGTGTCTGCTTGGCACCCCAAATCAATAAAACCAGAATCGGAGGGGGCAGGCAGGCCCAGGAGGGCTTTCAAAACACCCAGGTGATCTGGGTGCATGGCAAAGGTTGCAAACCATTGCAACAGAGAGATTTTTTCCCCCCCAAAGTTCAAGGTAAAGCACCTTTTTTTTGATCATTGCCTTTCTCAACTTCTAAAACCTCCCTCCTTTTTTTTTTTAATGCGATTCAGGATATGGCAATAATGAATACTCTTATACTTTTGGAGTCACAAATCACTTTTACAGGCACAACCTTATTAGATTCTCAAATCAGCCTGTGGAAAGGGCTAACACCATTACAGAAAGATATATGATGAGCTTGCCGTGACATTGTTTATAAGAGACAAAAAAAAAAAAAATGGAAACAACCTGAAAGCCAGTGAAAGAATGGTGGTTAAATACGTTATGGGGCATTCACACAGCAGAAAAGCAACAGCCATTAGGGAGAGTAAGGTAGATCTGTATGTATTGACTTAGACAGCCGGGAACTAGTATTCCATTTTTAAAAAGCAGGTTCAGAATCATACTTATAAATGATTCCTTCTCTATTGTTTTTTAAACCCTATTTCCATGAGCGTGATTTATAAGCACGAAAAGGTGTCTGAAAGGTCTACACTGTTGGAGAAAAAAATCCATTTTAAATTTACTGCCCTGAGATGAATTCTAAGACACTCGTACCCATGTTTTCAGAGGAAGCAATGGAATCAGAAATGTGGAGTTCTGTGGCCAGGTGGCTAAGAATTGGCGGTGCATTGGTTTGAACATACATATATGCTATGTTTCGCAGATTTAAAACAACTTTTAAAAAATTACATAACAGAGAAAACCTAGTTCACTGGAGCCTGCATCCAGGGCTCCTTTTGCTCCCCACATGGCCTGCTGCACAGGGCTCCACAGGCAAATGGCTGGCTTCTGCTGAGGCCGAGGAGGTAACATTTTGCACAACTAGGTGACCTATGAAGGTTGGTGCATCAGAAGTTGAGCTTCCGTCCCTCTCTGCATGAGAATCCCTGCACCCTCCAGACTGGTCAATCTCTTCTCAGAGCCACTGGCTGACTAGGGACCTACCAAGTCCCTGCTTGTTCCAAAGGCTGCCAGGAAGGTTTTCTCGGTGGCAGCTGTTGGTGAAGCAGGGAGAGTGTGTGGGCCCCTGCAGGGCTGTTTAATTCCTAATAAGGAAATTCACTTTACACACACTTTAGGGGAATTGTCCTAGGAGGGAGCCAGGAGCAGATGGGTACTGAGCTTATTAAAAGCATGCTTGTCACCGGAAGACATTTGCAAATATGTATGGGCTATATGTATGTATCTATGCATGTTTGTGTGCATTTACTCACAAGGACACACACTTGCATATGCCTCTGAAATCCCTTCAATTAAAAGCCTGTCAACTTACTTTGCAGTTAGTTCACTCTTATGGGGGTGAGGGGCACGTACTGTTCCTCACACCTTTTAACACTGGATTGTTGTTCTCACTCTTGTTTTTTTCCTCCTGACAGGTGCAGCTTATCCACTATAACCATGAGTTATATACAAATGTCACAGAAGCTGCAAAGAGTCCAAATGGATTGGTGGTAGTTTCTATATTTATAAAAGTAAGTGCCTTGCATTCCTTCCTTCATTCTTCTCTTCTGGCCATTCTCTGCCCCAATCAGAAGATCAGTCTCTGTTGAAGTTGGAAATATTAAAGAGGTGATATGGATTAATGTTCCTGCCTAAGAAAAGCTGCAGGGTCTCGTGACTTTAATATCCATAAGATTCATGAAAAATGCAGTCCCCTGCAGCAAGATGTAAAAATGATGGGTTCCATTTCAAGTATCAAGACCTGAGGGTTCAGGCAGTTTCTGTCCTAGAGAGAGAAAAAAAAAAAAAAACGTGCTGGGTCCAGGGACAGGCTTCAGATCCCCCCTAAAGCAATGGAATCAAAGGATGCAATAGCAGAGGGGAGGGGCTTCCCACTGATGCCTGCTAGAGCTGAAGACCTGTCCATCAATCTGCAATCTGCTGCTCCTGGGAAACCAGGGAGATGCGCCTCCTCTGCAGGCTCTGCACTGAACAGCTCCTCCTGGCTTCCCCGTTTTGCTCATCCTCTCTCACTTTCCTGCTGCTGTCTTTCAGACATTCTGGGGAGGCACCTGCCTCAGGCATCTCCCTAACAGGCAGCAACAGTACAAAATCTCCAACCAAGCAAATTCTAATTCATTATATAAAACTCCCTTTAACATTTTGGCAGAGGTAGAGTAAAGCAGAAAAACTAAATTTTTTAAGTTAAAAAAAAATCTTTCCAATTAAGAAAATTAATAGATTTTAAAAAAAAAATTGTTGGGCTGGGGATGTGGCTCAAGCGGTAGCGCGCTCGCCTGGCATGCGTGCGGTCCGGGTTCGATCCTCAGCACCACATACCAACAAAGATGTTGTGTCCGCCAAGAACTTAAATAAATAAATAAATAAATAAATAAATAAATTGCAGTAGGTTACAATCCCAAAAGTCAACAGTGCCTGTAGTAGCCCCTGGGAAGGCATTGGCCAGATCATTTGAGAAAGGGGACCAATCAGGACTTGGAATCTGATAATCAATCAAAACCAAGCATTCAGCTGGGTACAGTGGCAGTGGCTCATGCCTGTAATAGTAAGACCTCTCCTAAAAAAAAAAAAAAGAAAAAAGAAAAGAAAGAAAAGAAAAAAAAATCCCGGCATTACCATCAAGAAGTGGTAGCTTTCAATGACATCATCATCATTACTCAAAAGAATGGCAAATAAAGCAACCCCAGGGCTCCACTCCTCCCCCAAAGCATGACCCTGTACAATATGCAATTCTCCCCACCCATCTCCCAGGTGCCAAGCCTCCTCTAACATCCTTGCCTTCATCTGGGTCAGGGCAGGGCAGAGCTGTGCACTGGGCAGGGACATCCATGATAAAGTRTGGCCCCTGGCCACAAACTCCAAAATCCTCCATTAGCAATGACAGGAAGGGGGCATTTAGCCAAGGAACCCTGTCTTAGGCTTTTCCTGTCATCTTGGTCCCAGCACAGAGCCTGCTACTTCCTGCACTGTGTCTTTGACATCATCACAAACCCTGGAATAAGAAAGAGCAGAATCCCAGTACCAGGCTCCGTAGTATGTGTTTTACATCTATTTTATTATTTAACCCTAATAGTCTTAGGGATGAGGAAAATGGTTCGAAGAATCCGAGGCATTCACCCAAGTTCACGATTCCAAGTCTTGTCTGACTTTCATGCTCATGATCTCATTCCCACCACTGGCCTCCCCAGCAGAGCTTGGGGGAAGCGACAGGGTGAGAAGAGAGAACACAACATTTGAAAACATCCCACTCGGCTGAAATTGTRGCTCAGTGGTAGAGCACTCGCCTAGCATGTGTGCGGCACTGGGTTCAATCCTCAGCACCACATGAAAATAAAAAAATAAATAAAATAACGGTATACAAACAGAGATATGAAAAATTGTGCTCTACATGTGTAATAAAAATTGTAATGCATTCTTCCGTCGTGTATTTAAAAAATAAAATCACTGGCCGCTACGGTCCCGCTAATAAAATCTTGGACAGGTAAAAATAAAAATAAAATAAAATAATTTTTTTTAAAGGTATCATGTCCATCTACAACTAAAAAAATATTTTTAAAAAATCCCACTTCTAACCCTCTGCCACCCACAGCATAGGGCTAATTCCTGGGTTCTTATTCCAGATCAGATTATGGCACTGATAACCAGTTGGTACATTCAACCTGGGTCACACTTATTGTTATGAAGCCTGTGGATATTCCACATATTGTCATGTGTGTCCAGGAGCCTACCTTCCTCTGTGGCTTTCTGGTGCTGACCCTTCCATGAGTTTCTCCCACAGGCCAATCTGCCTGCCCCAGCAGTGCTTGCTCTTTGGACGGTGTCTCAGCCCCTGACTTTGCCTCATTTTCCTCAAAGATCCTGAGTCAGTAAATGTCACCATGGAGAGCACAGGTACATTACAGTTGACAGAGTGATTGACAGGCTGCTGCACAGACAGCCTCTTGGACAGCAAACAGCAGGCATGATTCACAGTTCTGGCAGAAACATTGTTCCACCACAGTCAGGGCTTGCAGGACCTGGGTGCTTCCCTGAAGGTATCTGAGAGGGACTCACACCCCCAGGGACTAAGGTCAGCAAAGAGATGGCAACGAATTCCTGCATCTTCTATGGCCAGTTGGCCCCTGGGGATGCTCCCCATCATTCCCCGAGCGAACCTGAAGCTTTCTGGCTCCATCTCAAGATAAGCCACAGAATGTCTTCTTTGTTCCACATAATCACCTCCCAGATAATCAAGTCCATGCCATTTACCCAAGTTGTGCCTTATCATTCACTTCTCTCAGAACTCGGATTGAACATGGTCCAGTCCTCTCTTAGGCACTGGTACCCAGAAATGAAATGGACTGAGTGCTTGGTCTCTAAGGATGCACAGTCTCTCCTCATCATCCCCTCCTACTGGTCTCCCTGCCTCCCTTTCTCAGATCTCTGCTGGCTACACAAGAACAAGGGTGAGAAGCCCCACATCTAAGGAGTTTAGCCCTAAAGTTGCCACCCTGCACAAAATCTGGGSACTTGGAGTTATTGGCTAAAAGAAGACAGTGGTACATCTGTGGAGTTGTTTTTTTTTTTTTTTTTTAATCTCTGTCCTCCACTAATCCCCCATCCTTTCCATGACCACAGGGAACAGAGATTTGGCTGTAATTGCTGCTCAATCACACACCATTAACTTCCCACTTAAGCTCACTTATACCAAGTACATATTTTATCCTCTCACCCACACCGCCTGCACACTAGTGCCCACAAATCATCTGTGAGCACTTTGGAAATTTCTCAATTATTTTTCATCAGCCCAAAAGGGGATGGTCTCCATGTTAATGCTGTCTGGACTCACCTGGTACCAGGAGCCTGAGACCCCCCAGCAATTAAGGGACATGGCAGATTCCTTCTCAGCCATGACAACATATTTTTGGCCCTCCTTCCCTAGCCAAATGCCTGAGCACAAGCAGGGGACTTCAAGCCATCTTTTAAATGCTAAAGGYTATATCACAGTAGAAGTTGAATTTAGCACTAAAGTTTCCAAGGAGCGACAGTGTTCAATTAGGGACTTTTCTCCATTCAAAGTGGACTTTAGCCTCCATGGAGCATGATCACTGGCCAAGCTCCCCTGGGTGTGTGTCTCCCCACAACACACCCAGCAAACTATGTGAAAAGAGAGACAGATGGAGGGAAAATAAACAGCCTGTGCTTTCCCCAAACCAAAATTACCTGTTGCTTATCTAATAATAATCATCATCTGCTGCAATTTTTCCAACCCTCAGAATAAATCAGRTTTAAAATGTTGATGTGTCACAACATCCGATTAGCAGCTGAGGCGTAAATTGCAGAGCAGAGCTGAGCTGAGCAAGGTAGGAGATAAAGGAGGAGGATGAACAGGGGCACTCAGGAGAGGCTGAGTGAAAGGTGTTGGGAAGGAAACAGTGCTCATGATGACGCGGAGCCACACGGGAACTCATACATGGTGGGTCCACCAAAGGCAGCTCTGGGCTCCTTGAAGTTTAGCTCCTCCTCCCTGGAATTGGAGCTATAAGGGCATACGCATAAAATGGGACCCAGGATGGGCATTTGGTGAATATTTACTGGATGGATGGATGGATGGATGGATGGATGGATGGATGGATGGATGGATGGATGTGGGAAGGGACTGATTGGCTGAAAGGTATGACTTATGGATATTCAATTTGTTTAGTAATTACCAGTGATATATCAAGTTTCTATATTACTTTTTAGAGTGGCTTTTCCCACCTGCTGATACCTTTATCCTGGATACTCTTTCCCTCTCAYTCTGTGCTTAGATAAATATCTATCTCCTAACATGTCACTCTGCACCCTCTACTCAAAATGCTTTGATAGTTCCATTCCTACAGAATAAACTGTTCATGTCCTAGCATGACTTCCAAAGCCTSATGTGTCCGCCTCTGCCCACTCCCTGGCCTCGCCCTCCATCCTTCCCCACAACCTCAGCTCCACCAGCAACGCAATTCTGAAATGTTTCCGTGAGCAGGCCAGGTTCTCACGGCCCCCATCCATGGATGGATAGGTCCTCCGTGTTTTTGTTGTCTTTCCCCCTTTTCCAAACTYTCCCACCAAGACACCTGCAGACTTCCACCCATCCTCCCAGACACACGCATGCCTAACGCCCGTTTTCCCTAAAAACATCACACCTGCGACTATCATAGCCCTCCTCGCATCATATGAAAACCATTTGCTCACCCACTCACCTGTCTTTCTTGTCTACACGGGGGGCTCCTACAGCGTAGGGTGTATGTCTGGGGTCTCTGAATTTCCAGCCATCATAGAGTTGGATACATAGTGGGCACCAAGTAAGTACGAATGGTGTTTTAATCAGCTTTTTTGCTGCAGCGGCTGAAGGACCCAACCAGAACAACTGTACAGCAGGAAAGATTTCTTAGGGGCTCACGGTTTCAGAGGTCTCAATCCGTAGGCAGCCAGCTCCGTTCTTCGGGGCTCGAGGTGAGGAAGGACATCATGGTGGAAGAGTGTGGCAGAGGGAAGTAGCTCACAGGGTGATCAGGAAGCAGGGAGAGAAAGTTTCTACTCTCCAGATACAAAATATATACCCCAAAGCCATGACCCCAAATCCCCCCTCCTCCTTGACACACTCTACCACTTCAGTTACCACTTGGTTAATCCCTATCAGGGGATTAATTCACTGATGGGATTAAGACTCTTATTACCCAATCATTGAACYTCTGAATCTTCTTGCATTGTCTCACATGKGAGCTTTTGGGGGGACACCTCGCATCCAAACCTTTACAAATGGGCAAGAGAAGGCACAGAGGTGATGCTTATCCTGGGAAAGTGCTACCCGGTCATTCATATTTTCTTCTCTCTTCCCTTAGGTTTCTGATTCATCAAACCCATTTCTTAATCGAATGCTCAACAGAGATACCATCACAAGAATAACATATAAAAGTAAGTKTGGCTCCCTTTCCCCTACAGCAACTCTTTTCTCTAAAGGTTAGCCCTGTCGAAAGGCAAGAAGCCAGAACTGATGATCTTCATGATCCTTTAATTCTGTTACAAAGTCACTCTGGAGAGTCGGGGTTTGGCCAAAAAAGCAGCTCATTTCAAGCAGAAGTCCCTGGGGTGTCTTAGCCAGCCACGCCTGTCTCAGGCARTAAGGATTATGATGATGTGGTCATTGTTATCCCGTGGTTTGGTAACGAGCTGGGGGACTCTGATGGATGGATGGCTGACTCCACCATGTCAGCTGTCCACAGAGGGAGCTTTGCCAATCGTATGATTGCAGAAGTACCCACCAGGTACTCTGGGTCCAACCTTTAWCAGAGTCCCTTGGCTGGGCCGAGTCTCCTTCTCCTTATGGCTGGGTCCCCCTTCCARGAGGAGGCAGGAGGTGGCATCATTTTTGTTCTCCGTGGCCCATGGATCCAGAGACTCTGTGCAGTTTCCTTGAGTTTTTTGGAGTGTTTCATCCCAGATTTCTTTAGCAGAAAAAAGAGAACAGTACAAAGTTGAAGGAGGAGGAAAAATAAAGGTCCCGCTGCCCTCCTCAGCAACCCCAGAAGTGGCAGGATTTCGAGAAAGGTGTGTGAGATAGCACATACCAAGAGCTGAAAGAAAGATGTATGGGAGGAAATGGTTTTTGCCTCTTCAGAAGCAAAAAAGAAACTGGGACTCAAGTTTTGGCTTTATCCTTCAACGGGGACTTTCCCCACTTTACTGTGTTTCCTTGTCTTTAAACCTGTTTCCTCATCTGTAAAAAAAAGTTGAACTTCCGATTCTTAAAGTCTTCCCCTTCTAGGGTTTTTGAATCAATCAATAAGTCAACAATGATTTCCACCAAAAGAAAAAAAACAGCAAGCAAACGTTCTCACTCCCCACATCTCCCTGGCACATCCTTGATCCAGGAGCTCAGCTTTGCCCACTGCTTCTACYTCCGAAGGTGATATAGGAAAGACCGAGTGAGTGTTTACAGGCCTCCCCTGGGTGACTGGAGGAAGAGTATAGAGATCGCTGCCCTTGCTTGCTCATTTATTCATTCAACAAACACTTCCTTCAGGAAGGTAAAGATGGCTCAGATGCAAGCYCTACCCACAAGCTGCTCACCACTAGGTCCTCCTGTGTGAGGAGGCAGAGGTGTGCTGCTGGGGTGATGGATGRGCCTGGAGAATCACCCCACTAGACAGACATCATCTAGAAGAATGAATTAAGTTGTCTCTAAACACATTGCGGCCACCCTTATCAGTATGCTGGTGGCGTCCTCTCTAAGCACACACTTAGATTGCTCAGCTAAGGGAGATATTTCCGTCTTGCTTGTAAATAGCACATTTATAACTGCCCATAAAAGATTATTATTCTTTTAACTTTTTTTGATTAAAAAAGCATGAAAATTAAATAAAATGTTTTCAAATAATCTTGAATTTGCAGTTTAGAGACCGTGAAAAACCATGAAATTGCACATTAAGTCCCAACACACAATCTGACAGATTGCCACTTGCAGTCGATCATTGGGGGCGGGGGAGGCTTTTCTCCCCTCCCCACCCCACCCCCAGCTCTGGTTGGATTAATATGATGTGATGCGGCTGCTGCCACAGAGGGAGGAACAGGGGAGAGGAGGGAGGAGAGAGAGAGGGAGAAGGRGAGTAAGGGAAGGATAGAAAGAGAAAGGGGAGGAATGATAGAGAAAGAGAGGGGTGGAAGAAAGGAGGAAAGGAGGGAAAGAGGGAGCCAAAGCACTCCAGACAGAGGGAGCAGAAGCTACAAACCTTGGGGAGCACTGAGGAGACTGCAGAGAGTTCAGAGGGAGGGGCTCCATCTCTACCAGCCCTGGGTGCCCAAGGTGAAGCACAGCCCATCAGCATCGGTGAAGCCCAAGTGAGTGGAGGAATGATGACCTCAGCAGTAAGGAGTGGCAGGAAGACCATAGGAGCACCCCCTCCGCCATCTGACCCCCAGACCCATGCCTGCTAGGGCCACAGGAAGAGAAAGGGGAATCCAAGTAAGATCAAGAGACCCTGCCTACATGGGGAGAGGAGACTACCTCTGCCCCCTAATAACAGGTATTTTATACTCTGATGCCCCAGCGGGGAATAATGTCGGTGTTCCCCAWAGCGACCTTTGTCACACACCTGAAAGGACCAGCACCACAGGGATAATCATGGCCTGATATGAAGGGATGGCCTCCACACCCCATGCACAGGACACCRGCGGAAAGGGATTTGATTTGCTCAGCAGGAAACAGATCTCTTCCATCCGGCTACACTCCCTGAAGCCACCGGCCTGTGGAGGGTTGACCTGGTGACAAGCAGGGGGTGTGAGGGACCTAGAACAGGGACACAGCCAGTGGCACAGGGAGAGACACCAGCCTGGGGATCTCTCTGGAAGCGCTGCAAGAGGCAGGAGGGTATGCGGCATCAGCCCGTGAATTCCAGTCCTGACGCAGACAAAGCCACCTGCTTAGGGGCACCTGTCAGGCTAGCCTGCTTCCACGCTTGTAAGTGAGACAGAAAGCCATCAGCACCCACCCACCCACATACACAGACAACCACTGCACCCACAGAACTCGGTTCACCTGACCACAGCACCCCCACTCCCCCAACCAGCCCAGAATTACACCCCCACAGAGCTCCAATTTCCCCTGCTTGCTTAGATGCAGTGCCTACTGGGCATCAGGAATATRGAGGGACGCTCTCTGAGCAATGGTKATACTCCAGGCTCTGTGCTTACATGCAGCACCTTGGCTCAGGCTCACCAAGTCTTCCAAAATGGGTCTAGTTGCTTACCCCAGCTTACCGATGAGCCCACGGATGCTGCCTAGGAGGCACTCAACAGCAAGCACTGACTCCTCCCTGCTGCACTTGGGGTCAGTCGGGGTAACKGGGTCTCCAGCCAGAGCTCCAGGGGTCAGCTGAGGCAGCTCACTCCACACAGCTCGAGTGCGTCCAGGACCAGGAGCTGGGGGTGAGAAGCAAGCACACACTTAACGACCAACAGCCTACACTTCCACGCTAGAGAGCAAGGATTCTGGGTCCTAAGTCATTTCCTTTATCATGCTTCCTCCCTATGGAACAAGAAAAGTTAGCTCTGAGGTCTTAAAACTAGTTTTAATCCTGATATGTTGACATTACATGAAATTTGTCAGCATTACCTTTCTTTTTTTTTTTTTTTCTTTTTGTATTTGTTCCACTTGGAAGCAACATAAACTAACCACACAACTAATATGGTGGCACATGTTCAGGGTCATCCCCACCCAACTTTTCTGCAACTCCTACATGTGTTTCCCTTGGCATGGAACCTCTAATGGAAATCAGTGTCACCTACAGGCACAACAGTGGCACCGTCATTATGGGCATATACAGTAACCAGACAAGGCTTAGAGATTGCTTTCAGAAGGGGTCAGTCCCCCAAGTCTTCCTCTTGGAGGCCATGTTGTAACTAGAAGCCAGTCTGACTTCAAGCCAAGGGACATGATCTGTTGAAAGAAGGAGCACTCTGGCTACTTGGCTGCGGATAGATTTCAGAGGATCAAGGGGGAAAGTGAGAAATGAAGGCAGCCATCCAAATCGTGGGACTTTGATCATGACTACGTCAATGGGAAGGGGTAGTGACAAATGATTTGGGTTTATTTTAAAGGAAAAGCCAAGAGATTTCTTGGTAAATCAGATGGGTGAAATGGGAGGAAGAGAGATGTCAAAAATGACCTTAAGGTTTTTAGCTGGGGCTAGAAGACATTCCCATCCACTGAGATGGGGCAGATTTAGGGGAAGCATATCTGTGGGTGGAAAGGGAATCACAAACTTTGAACACGTTGAGCTTAAGATGTCTTATTAGGCCCCCAAGAAGAGGTGTGGTGTAGGCAGTTGGATTAAGTCTGGATTTCAGGAGAGAATACTGAAATGTAAATGTGGAAGACATCGACATCCAGATGGCATTTCAACTTGGGTGAAATCGTGGAAGTAAGAATAAATAGACAAGAGAGGCGGGACATGTCTTCACTTTCGAAAGAGCAGCTCAAATCTTCATGACTTAGAATTGAAAAACACTTCTAAAGATATCTGTAAAATCCCACCATGCAAGAGGCTCCTCTGTGGCCACCTCCTCAGCCAGTGCGGAGGTGCGGGGAGGAGGGAACAAACAGCTCCTGTRTAGTTAGTATTTTTATAGTGCACAGTCATGACAATGTGATTCCTAGGAAGCTTAGATTTCCCTAGAAACCTGGGGGAAATCACCCCAACATGGCAGCTGGTGGAGACACTGCCCATTTGCCTGGTCTATAGGATTGGGCACAGCAGGCATGGCTAAGAAAGAGGAAATTGTGCAGAATCATTCTTTTTGACTTGGTTAACAAAACTCAATGCCAAGGAATCCATAAAAGGATGAAAGAAAGAGCACCTTAGCAAGGTGCTAATTAATTAACACAAGGAAAACAGAGGGATGGAGGCATTATTCCAATACACTACATGAAAAAAAAAAACAGAATATTTCAAGTAAATTATCTAGTACCTTCTCTAGAAAATGRGAACATGGAGAACTTTGAAAGCCAGCCTGGTGAAGGCCACCCCACTCAGGGACAGTGTGTTCTTATGGTGAGAGATGGAACTGAACAGACCTGGGTGCCTAGCCTGGCTCTGCTACTTCCTCTGATATGACTCCAGGAAATTTCTTAACTTAGTATCTCTGAGAGAGAACTATGTAATGGGTAAGATAAAGATATTAACACTGGTGTTGAGAGGGTTGAGATAAGAACAAAGCAAGATAATAAGTCAATTGTCTATAACTGTATTGGGATGGATGGATAGATAGATAGATAGATAGATAGATAGATAGATAGATAGATAGATAGATAGATAGATATTGACCTAGGGTAAATTTCTGTCAATAAGCTTCCTGAAAGGCAGGAATCAGGTCACTTTGATGCCAAATGAGAATTATGCCAAAGGTGAACACAGGAC